CAGAACCGTGAACCCGGGATTCTGCCGCCCATCGAAATCGGCCAGGATTTTTCGCCAAATCCTTCAACATCCGCTTGGACCCCTTCAGTGCAAGCATTGATTCGGGAACTAAAATCCCCAGACTCCTGGAGCTTCCCCAGACGGCCCCACAAGGCGGCATTGTCCCCACTGGGCCATGTCGTACCCCCGCTGGTGCCAGCCGGTCATCACCGCTCGTTGCCTGTGGAACAGATTATCGTGCCAGCACCAACATCAACGGTTTTTGTTGCAACCCTTCGCAACAAAAACCCAGGGTGTTTGTTGGTTTTTGTTGGTTTTTGGTTTTTGGTTTCTGGTTTTTGGTTTTTGGGTTTTTGGTTTTTGTTGCAACCCTGGGTTTTTGGTTTTTGTTGGAACCGTCTGTCCAGGACCAGGGCGGGGGCCCCCGATGGACATCTCGATGGCACACGGGTCGAAGGAAGACATGGCCGCACGGCTTACGGTCGGACCGAGGCACACGACCGAGGTCGGTTCGGGGAGGGCGCCCTAATCAGCGATTCGTGCTCTTCGTGTTGGCTGGGCGTCCTCGTGCATCCCCGGGGGAGGGCACCCTCGAGTGCTCTGTGCGTTCTGCCCGACGGGGGGCCTCCTCTGCTCACGAGGCGTGCTCTCGCTGCTGACCTGTCCGCACGACGGGGCGCCGGGCCCTCGGGCTCGGCCCTCCCCGCCCGCATCCTCCAGTGGCGAACGAACAACACACACCCATACCCATAGGGAGGTCGTTGGGAGGAGGACTGGCTATGGGTATGGGTGCGGGTTGTCGGACCCTGGGGAACGCTCCCGTTCGAGCGGGGACCCCCATCCGACAACACGCACCCAAAGCCCTCTCCGATCCCCCTATGGGTATGGGTGTGTGTGTGTGTTGTTGGTTCGTCATCCAGCACCTCCCCGACACAGAAGTCACGAGAGGAGCTCGGCGGGTGCCGCTGCCGAAGGGCCCCGTCTGCAACCAAGGGAGGAGAACCACCCCGACCACGAGAGTTGGCGTTTACTAGAATCGGGGGTGGACAGACCTCCTACCCTGACACGTCGATTAAGGAATTGGCCGTGTTCGGTTCGCGAGAGGGCGTCGCAGCCGTCGGTTTTTGCGGGTCCAGGTCCGTCGGTTTCGGCCCCAGGCCGTTATCACTAAGGGGAGGTCTATTAAAGGGAGGTCTGTCCACCGTCGATAAAAGCGGCCATGGGCGTTTGTTCTAAGCAGCCTTGCCCTGATCGATTCCTTCCTTGGGTGCGTTTACTAAGCGGCTTCGCTTGTCGGGGTGCTTATTCTAGGGGTGGGTTTTCTGTTCTCTATGCAAGGGACTCTCCACGCCACCAGCAAGCCAAGAAAGTGAGCTGACTGGGGCCGGCACTGCGGTCCGCTCTGCTCGCAAAATGCCGCGTGCAGTCGGAACGAGTCATAAGATCGAGGCCGGTTCGGGGGACGGCACCCTGATATTCGTGTTCGTTGGATGTTCTCGTGCACCCTGGGGAGGGTACCCTCGGACGTTCTGTGCGTTTTGGCGTGCGGAGGGTCTCATGTTCTTGAAGGATGTTCTTCTGGCCAAAACAAATCCGACTGTAACCAACACGTGCGTCTGATTCGTGCTGGTTGATAGCCCAGCGTGTCTGATGCTGAGTAGACAGGAGAGTTTGTGTTCGTGGAGCAAGCCAAGCACTTGTGAAACGCTGTCTCAGGGGCCTCTCCGCACCTCGCACAATCAACAATCTCGTTTCCGCCTGTCTCGTCTGAGATGCACCGCCTGGGCCAGGTGCCTCCCGCAGCAATGCATAGCATCAATTCGGCAAGCTGGTGCCCTTGGTGAGCACTCTCTAAAGAACGAATGTACCTCCTAAGAGACCTGTTGTCAGGTTCTCCCTGGAGCCCGGACCCGCAAAAGTGAGAAGAGGCCTAGGACCACAAGTGCATTTTCATTGTGGACTCCGACTCCAAGAGCTCGTCCGAAAAATCCGTGTTTCTTCAAAGGTATCAGACTTCCTACTTGGAGAAACTGCTTGCTTGGTACCCCTCTCCGTGACAGAGACGGGGTCTCACTGATACTGCAAACGATATGTGAAGATTGCTGACATTGAGCCTCTCACGTTCCGACTCCTCGACGAGGGGTCCATCTCCATGAGTTGCTCGGCTGCCGGTGGCCAAGCCTGCTTGTTGCCTGCCCTGATCACAGGCTCCGAGAGCCAGGAACGCAACCACAGCTTGAAGCATTCGCACGGCAAGCGGTAGCGTGGGTCTTGGTCGGAGTACCTCATGTTGAGGACGGTCGTGAAGCAGCGACCTTTCTTGGCAGGGTTGGACACGTGTCCCAGGCGCCTCATAATGCTCAGCATGGTCGAGCCGAAGACGCTGTGTACCTGATGGCTGTAGTGCCTGCTGGTTGAGCGCCTGCAGCTTCAATCTCATCGTTAGCGTGCAACGACGGGCAGCTCTGGCAAACCTGGCACTGCGCGCGTGCATGGTGGTGGCCTTGGCGATACACTTGCGCTGTGTAGCCCGAGCATGCTGACCTTCTCTTGTATCGACGCCAAGAAAACTAGATTGCACGATTGGCAGAACTACAACTCCTTTCCCCCTGAGACTGGCCGCAGCGAGCTTGGAGTCTCGATGGTTAGAACACCTAACGACCCTCTTGCTCGCTAACTGCATCCCTTCCTTGTTTCCACGTTCACTCGTCTGAGGAACGACCCGTACCAATCGTTTGAGAATGAGACGCCTGGAACCCACAGCGTATTGAGATACTTCGTCGATCCACAGCCTCATGTCCGCCATCGGGTGGGATGACGTGAGTCAATCTGGAATGAAAACAGTCATGCAGCGAGCAAATCTGGTGCCGCTACACAATCCTTGGATCACGATGCGGCTGCATTGAAGCGCCTCCGAGAAACAATCCCGCTGCGCCAGAGCCCGCACTTTAAGAATTAGCTTGACTAGCGGGAACCCCAGCGTCAGCGCCGTCTTGATGAGATGAAGCCATCATATGCTATCGTAGAAGCTTTGGATGTCGAGCAGCCCGTGTTCGAACGGCGTGCCGGGGCAACTGTGGACCCTTTCGCCGAGGATGCGGAGGACGCCCTCCCTCAGCACCGAGTTCCCCACCAACGCCGTATCCCAGTGGGGCTGCGACTCCTGCGCCCACTCCATGATGAGAGGTTCGCGCGCCAGTGCCCAGATCCTGGAGATCATTCCCACCAGGCCGACGATCCTGTCACCCCCTGCCTTCTTCGGCAAGAGGCATCTGATGATGAGGAGCAGCTGCTACGGCCAGCTCAAGCAGCTCCCCGTTGCCGTGACGATCTGCACTAGCACGTCTAGGCCCTCTGGCGAAAGGCGCTCCACGTCGAGCGCGGATCTTTTCTCTATTCCATGCCCTGGTCGCGGCCGCATCTTGTGTGTTGCAGCCCTCAACATCTCGCCAGTAAGAGTCGGCAATTCCTGGAATGTCGCTTCCTCCTTGACCCTATCCAAGGTCCTCAGCAGCTCAACTTGATCAAGTCACGTGCTTCCCACAATCCGTGCCGCTATTTGACCTTGTAAACTATGACGTCCTTCGGATGACGCAGCACCCCGATGGGCGGGACCACTTCCAGAGATGAAGTCCTAGCCCCCAACAATCCACGAACCGAACTCATCCAGAGACGCGTGCAAGGCGTTGCCACGGGCCCTGCGCGCCCCCTGATCGGCCACTGATCGACACATCCGACCGTCTCGATTTTTCGGAGACGCCAGGTATTTGGGTTCCCCCAGGTGTCGATCCAATCGATCTGAATCGACATCGATCCCAGCTGGCCCGATCCGATTCGATTACGATATTTCGGCGATCCGATGCATATCGATGTTAGCGTGGCGTTGTTGTGCATCCTTACGCGGCCGATCCGATTCGTTATCGACCCCGTGCCAATGAAGCCCGAACCGACGCACCTTCCGATCCGATTCCGGGATTCCATACTGTTTGATCTTGCTTAGCATGTCCAAAGCAAGGACTCACGTCTAGAGACGCGCAAACCGCCTGGCAGGCTCGAGGGCTAACCAGACGATGCTCCCCTCATTGGAGCCCTCAAAAGGCGCCCTGAGCGGGCCCGCCTGAGAGGTGCATCCCGCCCGCTGGGATGCTCCAACCCGGCCCCCCCGCCGAGAGCCGCCCGCCCGACCCGCCCCGCGGGGGTCCAGGACCGCCTGCCCGGCCCGCCCGTCGGTGGTCCGCCCCCCCCCCCGCTCGCCTGGTTCTGGGCCTCCTGGATGGGGTCGGATCGGATGGGGTCGGAGGATCGCGCCGCATCGCCGATGCGTCTCGATGTGGAGCCCGACTCGCTTCCCGTCGACGTCGCCGACGATGCGGCGCCGATGCACGGACAATGCATCGGCGATGCATCGCCGATGCATCGGCGATGCGGCGCGAACCTCCGACCCCGTCCTCTCGGACCCCATCTAAGAGGCATCTACTGGCTGCGATCCCCTTTCTTCCGCTTCGGTGCCGAGCAGTGCCACCGAGTCCACACGTCCGCTTCGTAAGGCACGGGTCGACGTTCGCGCGGCGATGCTCTGGCGCACGTCAGACGTACATCCGGCGTGCATCCGAGGCACATGCGACGGGAACCAGACGTAAATCCGACGTGGATCTGACGTAAATTGGGTCTCAAGTTGCCGCGCGAGTTGCGGGCAGGACTTGTATCCATATCCTCTGCGTCTCTGAGTTTCGGGCTCCATTTCCAGAGACAGACGGCGCAGTGCATATGGACAAACCTGGACCCATGAGGCTAGATGTAAAAGCATATCCACAGCGCCTCGGCCTTTTGGCGCCCCTTCCCAGAGAGTCCAAGATATCCGCTGGCCCTCGGCCTTTGGGCGCCCCTTTCCCCGAAAGCCCAAGCCGCAGCGGAAAGCAATACGCATAGATCTCGCCCGCGCGAGGCCTCCAGGGTTTTCCTCCAGAGCTGCTGACCGATCCTATCCTCGGCCCCAGGAGCTGAACGACCAGAGCCCCGAGGGCCAGAAGCTCATCCTGCGGGAGCGCGAGGAGAAGCTCCGCGCCCGCGCCGCCGCGCTCGATGAGCAGGCCGCGCACCACCGCGCTCTGTCTGCACGCCTCCACCCGGCATTCTCTCCTTCCCGTCCGCCCCCCTTCTCTCTCCACTGCCCCCTCCCCCCTTCTCCTCCATCCTTCCTCCTCCTTCCGCACTGGATGGTGGTTACAACGTGAGCCCGTTCATTGCCTCTGGGCTTGTCCATCTTAGGGATCGCTCCCCCGTCCTCCTCCTCCTCCTCCTCCTCCTCCTCCTCCTCCTCCTCATCATCATCATCATCATCATCATCATTTCGGCTGCTTGTAATGCGCAGCCCAAACGCCCAAGAACAGTCCAAATCATCATCATCATCATCATCATCATCATCATCATCATCATCATCATCATCAGCATCATCATCGTCATCATCATCATTTGGGCTGCTTGTAATGCGCAGCCCAAACGCCTAAGAACAGTCCAAATCATCATCATCATCATCACCATCATCATCATCATCATCATCATCATCATCATCATCATCATCATCATCGTCATCATCATCATCATCATCATCATCATCATCATCATCATCATCATCATCATTCCCTTGTTGCTTCGCCCGCGCCCGCCTTGCCCCTAGCAGTCCACGCAGGCGCCCCAGCGCCCCCTGCGCCCCGCCCTTCTGGTGCAGCGCGCGCGGAGCCGCTGCCGCCGCCGCGGTCCTGCTCCTCGCGCTCCCCAGTCGCGCAGGGGATCGACTACAGAATCGATGTGCCCCAAAGTTGGTGCTCGCGTCGATTCTACCAGGAAGGCGTTCAAGTCTTGATGGGTTCGACGAAGAGCTCGATTCCCTGCCCGACCCATCCTAGTCGATCCCCTGCCGACCCAACCTGCCTTGCCAAGTCAACTCTCTAGTCGATCCCCTGCCCGACCCATCCTGCCTTGCCCCCCCCCACCGCGCACGCCGCGCCCGCGAGGCCGCCCCGTGGCCGCCCGCGCGCCTTCTCGCCCCCGCCGCGCCCCCGCCGCGCCCCCCTCCCCGGGGGCAGGTCGCGGCGATGCAGGCCGACGCGGAGGAGAGGAAGGCCCCCCCCGCCCGCGCGCGCCCCGGCCCTGTGCGGCTTCCCCTCCTCCCCTCCCTCCCCGGCCTCTCTTGCAGACTCGCTGACTGCCGCTCCTGCGTGATGCGTGTTCCTCGTCCTCCCCCCTCGCCCGTGCTGCCTCCCGCCTTTCCTCCTCCTCCTCCTCCCATAATCATCCCTCGTCCCCCTCTCGTTCTCTCACCTCCTTTCTCAGCCTCCTTTCTTCACTCCTTCAACCTCTTCCTCCTGCGGCCTCTTGCCCCGTTTCTTCCCCGCTGTCGTCTTCTCCCTCCTCCTCCTTCGCCATTCTCCATCCTTCTCCGTTCCTTCCTCTCGTCCTCCCTCTCCTCCCATCCGCTCCTCCGTCCGATCCTGCCCCGCCCCCCACCCACTTGGTATCGCTCGGACGTGTGCATTTTTCCTTCGGCGAGGACCATCGAGGAGCATCCTTGATCATTTGGCGAAAAACCCACGCACGAAACCGAAAAAAAAACAGGGAATGGACGTCCGAGCGATGGCCAGCCCCCACCCAAGACGAGGCCGCGAACCTGATGCTCGTGCAGGAGAAGAAGTACCTCGAGGACGAGATCGAGGAGGCCCGCCGCGGGTGGCCGCGCGCCGGAGATGCCTGGAGCCGGGCGCCCCCCTTTCCGCCCTCGGCCCGCCCTAGACAAGGAGGAGGCGGAGGAGGAGGAGGAGGAGGAGGAGGAGGAGGATGCGGAGGACGAGGAGGAAGAGGAGGAGGAGGAAGAGGAGGACGAGGAGGATGTGGAGGAGGAGGAGGAGGAGGAGGAGGAGGAGGAGGAGGAGGAGGAGGAGGATGCTGCGAGAATGCTGAAGGGTGCCAGTCAGCAGCGAAGCCACAGCTGGACAATTACACCCCCCCCTCGGGGGGCGGCTCTCGATAGCACACTATCTCCGAGACTTGGGTTTCAAAAGTGACTTGATTACACTCGACCCTGCCTCAACTCGGAGGCGCCCCGCTCCCTTGTCATTGGGCCACTTGTTGCCCTTTGGTGGGAGCCCCTTGCGCAATCTACTGAGATAATTATCTCCCGAGGGGGTGGTCCATTCACGGCACGGCTTCGCCAAGAGCAAGAGACGGCCCCCCCCGTTCACCACGGTGCCCAGACTGGCGCATTTCCAACACCAAACTTGCCCGTTACGCATGGCCACGCAATGGGAGGGGTGGACATGCCTGTTGGCCGTCCTCAACTCCGTGGTCACAGGGCGGGGCACAAGCACAACATTATCATTCTCGCTCAAGTGCCGATGGGTGGGGTCCCCCTTACAGCGGTTATCTTCGAGCCCGAGCCAGTCCACAAGCGACGACCCAGGAGGCGGCCCCGTACGGCACCGACGGCACAGCCACGCCCCAGTGGGCAACCGCCCCAAATTGTGGCCCGACACACGCTCGAGCTCGACAACCCGCCTGGAAGCAGCCCCCCCTCCCCCCTCGGGAGTCCGTGCACACTGCTCGCGGTCCTGCGACGCGAGCTCCCTGGCCACCGCTGCCAGGCGCTGCTGGGCGAGGGTGGCGCAGGCGTCCGCGACGCCTAAGGCCTTGATCTCTCCTCTGATGGCCGCACTCGCCTCCTCAGCCCCTCTCTGGGCGTAGGCGTCGGCCAACTCATTCCCACGGGAGACGGAGGGAGGCTGGGAGGACAGGAGGTGGGAATGGGTATCGAGGTGGGAAAAACACTTGCGGAGGGTGACAACCCCAGGGCGGGACTGGGCAGCGGCACTGACTCTCTGCCACCACCCCCTGAGCACACCGCTGGGGTTGTCAAGCTTACCCCCATGCCACCCATCAAAGACTGCCTGGTTATCAGTATATATAATTATATCCCCAGTCGTGAGCTCCAAACACCACCACAAGGCAGCGAGCTCTGCTGCTGGGACGGTCTGGCGGCCGTCGACTCCCCCATACCACCCAGGGAGGGGGGGGGAAGGGTCCGAGGCTCCAGGGGCGGGAGGGCCATGCAGTCCCATCTGGAGATAGACGCCCCACCCTACACGCGCCACACGCGGGTCCGACGACGTGCCAGAACCATCCAAAAACCCAAACCTCGCCTCCAGCCTTCGGGCTGGCGTCACTTCTCCATTGGGACCGATGGCGGGTGGTGGGGTGTCAACAGCTCTAACACTCCAGGCATTCACATCCCCCCACTCTGGTGGGGGAGGCACAGGATTCCATGACAGGGGAACGATCCCTCGGAGCCAAAGCGATTCATTAACCCCTCGATCGAGGTCGCGGATCGCTCGCTCGCACAAGTGTCCCGTTCTGGCAATCCAAGGGTGCTCCAATTGGGCCAGACTGGGACACTCGTAAGTCCTATGACGCGTGGTATCTGGGGCCCCTAGATCACACCTAGTGCACAAGCCGTCTGTCTGATAGCCAGCTCGCTTCTGGCGATCTCCATTCCAAATTGTGGCGCACGCTATCCCCTCCAGGGCGCCAGCTTCCTTGTACATATCTTTCTTATGCATGCGCTTGACATTAATTTGCAACATGGTGAGGCCCCCCCCGTCCTTGAGGCAGGCTCCTTCACTGTGCAGGGAGGCTTGCTTCCACAACTGCTTCTGAACTGACTGGGCCAGGGCATCACAAATTTCAGTCACATCCTCGGACAGGTCGGGGTTGAAACGCCACTGAGCACCGTCGGGGCCCTCCCAAACGTCAGTCTCAACCCCGACCCATCCCAGGGACCGAAGGGTGAGCAACAAGGCCCCCATAGGCCCCGTTACTGCTCGCCATCGGGATCGGGGCTTCAACCTAGCAAGCTTAAACTTAGTGGCCGTCCACCCCCTCCGAACCTGCTGCCTGAGGGTGGGGTTGTTGGCCCAGAAAATGAGCCACTCTTTGGCCTGGCGATTCACGCACGCAGCCCAAGGGTCCCCCTCCCCATACATCAGCAGCATGACCATCGCGGTGCAGCGGCCTTTCTTTCCAAAACCAGCTAAGTCCGCTGCCAGAGCTCTCCGCTTTCGGATTTCGGTCGGGGGGGGGCCGAAAAGAGGGCTATCGTAGGACATCTTAGCCCGCACGCTAGCATTAAATAGGAGCTTGCTTTTCTTGCGTCGGGCCCGTCCCAAACTGGCGAATAAACCGGCCCTGGTGGCCCGAATTTTGCCGAGTCTACTCCTTCTTGTTGCCGATTTTCTGGACCTACGTATCCCCATGGTGTTGTCGGTCCCCAGGTCCTTCATCTCCTTGCCTTTCTTGATGGAAACATTAAACTCGGCCAGGGACCTCTCCACCTCCAGGGCGTCCTGGGGGTTCTGGGCAAGGATGGTTGACTTGTCGGAGATCCTGAGCCTCGCCTTGAGGCAGCCTCCAACCAGGACGCTCGCTGCTTTCGACACCGCTGCACCTACCACGTCATCAGGGCCCTCGACCCTCACGGTGATGTCGTCCACGAACTGTCGCAACCTCGCTATCGGGACGGCTAGATGTACTTCTTCTAGCACATGATAGAGTAGTGCTCGCGCTCCGTGGTTAGCTTTCCCGCATCCTGGTACCATCCCATTGTCAGGAACGAACAAGTCACTGTAGATCTTATTAGCCTTGACTAGCCTAGGGCAGAGGTACGACATGATGCACATGTACAGCTCTACTGGGGGGTACTCGACCTGCGCAGCACGTACTCCTAATATACCTAAGTCTACCAAATCGTAGAACTTCTCTAAGTCCTGGAAGAACGTAGCTTGGCTGGCTTCGTCTAGATTGGCCCGTGTGTCGTCCAGAACAAGTGTTAGCAGTGCCGACTGCAACGCCGAACTCTTCCTGACTGCCGCGTCCCAGAACCCCGCTTTTCGATCACACCACTCAGTTAATCGATGTTTGGTCATCTTACCCCAGACTCTCATCGTCATCGGCATCAGCCCTATGGGCCGCTCTTCCCCCGCTATTTGTTTCCCCCCCTTTGGTGGTAGGGCATACCATATCTGCATTATCTGATGTGGCCAAGTCAACTGCCTCTCGCACATGTTCAAGATGAGGAGGAACGATTCCTTGCACGACGGGCTGAGCGCTCGCAACTGGTCTGGCGCCCATTGATCAGCACCAAGCCCAGTCCCCGCCTGGAAGCTGCTCAGCGCCATGTCTAGGCACTCACGCGCGAGGAAGGGCCTTTCGGCGAGCGCCTCCAGTGCCTTGCTCTTCAGGTCGCGCATGGCTTGCGGGAGCTCCTTCGTGGCAAACTCCTTGTGGGCCGTCCATCGCCGTTCCCACTGCCGTCGTCGAAGTTGAATTCCTTTCTGCGGGTCCATCTCCCACTTCCTGGTGTCTGGGTCCAAGCATCCATCACTCGTGTCGGTTCGCTCCTCGGAACTCAGATAACGATGTGCTCCTTTCATCGCATTGTCTGTTGCCTTCTTGGCCCATGTTCGTACTTGTGCTCGAGTGCCCCGCCAGGCCAGGGCAGCATGACGGGCTGCTCGTCGGAAAACTTCAGCTATCAGTTCTGCTTCTTCCGATGCTTCACTCTGATCTGCTCCTGTTCGGTCAAGGGGCTCACCTAGCTCAGACCTCGACGTCACGGAGGGCCCACCTGGCTCGATCAGGGTGGTGGGGGAGTCGAGGGGCTCACCTAGCTCAGTCCTCATCTGCTCCTGCCCACTGTGGCCTATCCCCTCGCCACGCAGGGGGAAGTTACCGCTGTCTGTGCTGCCACTGCTATCACGAATCCAGCAAGCTTCCTGTCCGCCCGCGCCGCTCGCTGGAGCTCCCTCCTCCTGTGGCTGGAGTGCCCAGGGCGCGGGTCGTCCAGGTGGCGACGGCGACCCAGGGCTCCCTTGCGGGGCCCTGGAGCGTTCTGACATCCAAGAACAACCAGTAGACAGTGACATCGAAGTAGAACTGCTCGCACTTCCTGTCGCTCTTGGCCCCAACCCCGTAGAGCGGGCCAGTTGGGGCGGCGTACTCCCAGTAGACGGCGTCGGGGGTGTCGAACTGCTTGCTTCCCTCGTCGCTCGTGGTCCCAACCCCGTAGAGCGGGCCAGTTGGGACAATGTACCCCCAGTCGGTGGAGCCATCGGTGTCGAGCTTCCCGCCGTCGGGGTCCCTCGTGTCCCCAACCCCGTAGAGCGGGCCAGTTGGGGCTGCTCAGTAGACGGCGCCATCGAAGTAGAACTGCTCGCACTCCCTGACGCTCTTGGCCCCAACCCCGTAGAGCGGGCCAGTTGGGGCGGCGTACCCCCAGTAGACGGCATCGAGGGTGTCGAACTGCTTGCTTCCCTCGTCGCTCGTGGTCCCAACCCCGTAGAGCGGGCCAGTTGGGACGATGTACCCCCAGTCGGTGGAGCCGTAGGTGTCGAGCTTCCCGCCATCAAGGTCCCTCGTGTCCCCAACCCCGTAGAGCGGGCCAGTTGGGGCTGCTCAGCAGTACTTGCCGTCGCACCTTCCCCCTTTGCTTCAGCAGCCTCCTCCTCCAGCTGCAGCTGCTGAAGGTTGGGCTCGTCCGCCTCCGCATCCATCTGCACGAAGGGGTCGTCCTCGCAGTCCATACTGCTGGTGGCCACTGGTGGGACAATCTCCGTCGCCTCCTTCTGGGTGCCGCTCTCTCCGGCCTTCCGCTGCTTTTTTGACGGCTTTGGGCCCAGCGGGCCCCGCAGTGACTGACAAGGCTGGCCTGCTAGATACTGCGTCAAGTTGAGTAGCACCCTGCTGTCCTCCTCCTTGTCCCTGTCGGTGTCCTGATTGCCGCCCTTGGCCTGGTCGATGAGCTCGACGCGCTGACTGAGCGAGCTTATGGCGCTCTCAACCAGCTTCAAGTGTTCATCCTTCTTCTGCCGCGCCTTCAGTATTGCCAGCTCCCTCAGTCTGGCAGCCAAGGCCTCCCGCAGATTCGCCTTTTCCCTGAGGGCCGCGTCCAAGAAGGGGTCTGTCTTCTCTTGAATGGTGACCTTGCGCAGCGTGAACTTGGGATTGCATCCTCTTCGCACCTTATCTTTTGGCTTGGCATCCGTCATGATGCACAGTGACTGCTCCGCTGCTACTGACCATTCGCCAAAGTGGTAGGCCAGCTTGTTGGAGCCCTCGGGGTCCAGCCGATACGCCCAGGAGTCTGCCACATCATCAACTGGGTCTTGAACCGCTCGTCCTCGGGTGTCTGCCAGCGCCTGAAACCACTGCTCATCGCTGGTTGCCTCCTTCTGCTTCGTGGCGTACGTCGTCTCCAGGAGGTGCCCATGCTCATCATGATGCAGGTCTCCTGGTGTCGCTGCATTCTCGTCGCGCTCTGCTGCTGCTGCCACCGTCTTCTGATACTTCTCACGATCACGTTGGGCTCGCTTGAGTCCTTTCTCTTTGTGGACCGTGGTGGTGGCGATCTCGATCTTCACTGGCTGGATCGGCATCTGCACCTTGACCGAGGCGGG